GTGAGTTACTCATTTCAATTTGTTTGAAAATTGAATATTGTTGCAATCACTTTACTAATCATATTGCTAAAGTGATAGTTTAACATAGTTTACATATTTTATACTTATATAGGTACATAATTTATATGTGCAAATTTAATGAACTGCAATACATAGAATATATGCTGTGTAGTATGCAGTTGATTGTTTTGAGGAAAACACTTCATTATTAGAGAAATACTGTATAAAGTTATAATATGCAGGATGTTTCAAGCGTTTATATTGAGGGTCCCAAATGACTAGCTTCAGTTGGATGGACCACCCTCGCAAACCGTTGTTGAAATATTATAAAATAAATATATTCAAAGAAATGTTAATTAGTAAATAGATGTTATATAATAATATTTTAGACCCACCCTGTGTTGTCAGTGGGATAACTTTAGGTCTTTGCTAGACTTATGCTTTTTACATTGCTTTTCTCTATGTATTATCACTGCTTTATGCTTCATAAATGTTACAATGGGTGTGTTTCTACTGATACACAAAATAATTGATTATTTTTAACCACTTTTTTAATGAGTGCCAGACAGCCTGCCCACGTTGCAACTGCATTTTTGCTTTTACGAAAATCATTTTTCTTGGCAGAAATTACGTCACCATTTTGTTTATACAACACATTTTCCAAACTGTATACTGTAGATTCTTTCTGACCAACAAGACAGTATATACTTGAATACACGTTAATTCCTGTAATGATGATGAGAAGGATACGATGTGTGCGGGCAACGTTAGGGCCAGAAGGGCGGAGAGGCCTACAGTAAGCCCAACATATTACACAAAATAATTACAAAACGAGTAATTTTGTAGGCGTAGGACATGAACTCCTGTGATATGAGCTAGCTTTGCTGTTGACCTGGAGGACACATTTCACCTGATAATTACTTTTTGTGTCGCTATCCATTGCGTGTTTTTGATTGATTTTTTTTAATCGCTTTTTTATAACTAGTCCCGTACTGCGACAAAAAAAGCGATTTTATGAAAAAGCGGTTTTTAATCAATTAATTAACAGGCCCAATGTTATAAGAAGATACTTTACGCATTTCATTGTCTTCATCTTGAAGTTTGGAGGCTAAGTAGTTCAGGAAGATGAAAGATCACACCTGTCAAGATTAATTGAAATGCTGTGCCTCCAAAGAGTCCAATTGCTTGTGGAAGGAAATGTTAAATCACATTAATGAATAGTAACTCATCCATCAAAATGGTCCAAACGTCTTTAGTACAAAAAAAAACAGCTCTTGTTACAATCCATCCATGCCATACATTCATTAATCTAATATTGTTTTCATCAATTGGTGGATAGTATCAGTAGCATGTAGCTCAGAAAATTTATTTTTTGGGAATGTTGCCCCTTTAATTTCCATCTCTAAAGCATATTTTCCATAAATATCTATATATATATAGATGCTAATCACTGACAGATTTCAGAAATGTTGATTGGTAGGTCAAATCACCTTCTGAGTAAGGGTTGGCTATGGATGAGGTATGATGGTTGCAGTGAACTATATAAGATTCACTAGGACCAATCATAAGCTTGGTGAATATATGTGGCAAAGACAAGGCAAACTAGTCACTCGTCGCAAATCCTGTTTCAGAGATAATGGCAAAAAAATGCTGGAATGCCAAAATATTTGATGTCTATTTTATTGAATTATAACCTTTATATATCTATACATCATTCTTTGCTGTTATTTTCCCCATTTTCAATGTTAAAACAATAATGTTTAACGATTTGGTGATGGTTTATGCCTGAGAAATGCCCAAAGTCATAAACTTTGAAAGCTGATTTCTCAAATATTGTTCATTATTAAACAGCTGTACATTTAGACTCCTGTAACTTCATAACAAAATGTCGGATTTAAATGATTTTTTCACCATTTTATAGCTCTCAGTGTAATATTTAGCTCTGTATTAATAACTTAAAATTGATTTTTGCGATGAGTGACTGGTTTGGCTTGTCTTTGCCACATATACTGACTAGAAATTAAAAGATAGAAGGTGAAATAGTCCTTGAGGTATAAATATGGTATGCCACAGTAAGCCTTTTCTCGTACAGATTTATACTCAATTGCTTTAAATTGGAAACCAACAGGAAGATAATAAGCTAATGTATAATAAAGCCTGACTGCTAAAAATAAGAGCTGTCTCTTAATTAAAATTAAAACCATAGGATCAGGAAGGTAATGGAATTATGATGTTGCTATCAAAATCTAATAATTTCTAGGAAATTTTGGTGTTAAATATTCAGAGGGTTAAGCTAGATTCCTGAATATATATAGATCGGTGTAACCCAGTTCTCGTGGATACCTCTCCAGAATAAAGTGTCAGGAACTTAAAAGGATTTATTCTGGAATTAGAAGCGTTATCTGCATCTAGTGCTCTTACTGTCATTTATAAAATGGTCTATTAAGCCACTGGCTTAATAAATATAGAAAGCTTTTTATTGTGTTAGATTGAATGTGTTTAAATTTAGAAGTAATAATTTTAACATAGCTTAGTATTATTTTCAGAAAGTTGAATATTATTATTGATTGGTAATTATCAACCGTGGCTATTCTTCGTATTGCAATGGTAACATGGTTAATGTAATTCAGCTTTTAAATTTTGGCAAGTTTAATTTTATGATTAATTCTTTGTAATAGTTTTTATCAAGATAACCACCCTTAAACATGACTTACCATAAAAGGTGCTAGTATATAAATTTGGTAAATATATACTTAATATAAGGTAAACTTGAAAGAGGAATCAAATTTTATTATATAAATAGTCATCACCTGTTTAGTTAATTATGTTATTGTATTTACTGAATAATAATAAAAATAATATAATTTTTACTGAATAATAATAATAATAATAATCTTACAGAAACTGATTCAAGCTCTTATCCTAGTATAGAAATAAACTATGTACAGTAATAATGCATTATAAACGATGTCCAATTTGCATTCAATATTCTCACAGTTTCTGTTATTACCTATATTCAAGGAGTTAAAAGTATTACACACAAGATTCTGTGATTGGAAGCTGCTTATCTGTCATTATTATTATTTTATTGCCAGAAAAATACAAAAATGAAATAAATACATACTGGATTGGTAAGCAGAGAACCACTCCCATTCAGTAGAAAATCCTGGGCTTCCAAGTCTCCACCAGGTCTCATAATTGTCCGGGAAAAGTGGGTGGGTGGGCCTGCAGCACTCCCACTGGACAGAAAGCTAGAGGCTACGTTCAGACTTGGAGATAAGCCTGGCTCAACGTTAAACCCGGCTTAACTTTGCCGGGCATTTAGACTAGCAGGATTAGCCAGGCGCGAGAATTCGCATAATAATGAACCGTAACTAGGAAATGTGTTTCAAAACAATGCTTGCGAAACGTACGTACGTTCGCTCACAGCGTACGTAATTGATTGCTGATTGGTCGTTTTGTTACCCGGAAAGTCATGCAAGACCCCCCGCAACGATTAAAGTCCGGCTTAGAAAAGTTAAACACGGTGGCAAGCCAGGCCTTGTTATTATAGGAACACAGCCTGGCTTGAGATAAGCCACCTAGTTCAGACTGGCAGGTTGATAAACCCGGTGAGTTGAGCCGAGTTTATCCACCTAGTCTGAATTATGCCAGAATCTCCAGAAAAATAACCCATCTCCCAAAAATTCACAATGTTTGCATGTTTTTACTGATTTATTATTAATTGTCTCATGGAATTCAGTGCTGATAGGTATCACTGTGGAGCAAAATAAAATTAAATATGTTAAGAAAGCTCATTTAACCAGATCCTCTGGAAGTGGCTTCTTCCAACTTGGGACCCCTAAAAGCCATCCCATTTATTCATGATCTTCATCAATTATTATCAGTCCATTGAAGAAGATGGTAAATATAGAGGAATAAACAAATTGATCTAGGAACTCATTTATCAGCTACTTTAGTAGTGGTGTTAAAAGTGTATTCAGAAAATATTTATTTGGGAAGGTACTATTGCAGTATAAGACCATTACTAATAATATTAATAAAGCCTTTCAGAGTTATATTTAGATACTTATGATCTGGTCTAAGTCAAGTAGATTCATTATTAGTGATCTGGCCTTCAGAAGAGTTTATACCCACAGTGATATAACAAAATATATTGTCAACCTTCTGTTCAACATGTAGTTATTTCATTACGGTACTATTTTTGTCATCTATAGTTATATTCAGTAATTTCTACTATAGCAAATCAATCAAGTAATCTTATAAAAACTACGTATGCATTTGTCTATCCCGGGAGAGATGTTTGCGATGTTCTTACAGTCTAAAAATTGACCAAGAGCTAGTAAGCTTAAAAGAACAAAAAGCACTAACAATTTTTTTTTCTTTGGAAAATTAAAGGATAGATAGCAAAATATGAACTTAGAAATAAAAATGGAAATGAATGTTTTTTTTAGATTTGAACTGATTATTTATATAGGCCTACTGTATTTTGACATAATTGCATATATTATAATTATGACCAATTAGTGTTTGTTTTCATTTAATTTATTTGTCTCATTAAAAATCATGAAATATACAATTAAGAGCAAAGTTAAATGAGACTGGCTTGCCAAAAAGAGATTCAAGATCTCTGTCGAGTGGGTTGTGTGGAAGTGTTGATAAATTTATATTTTAGACTTAAAAAATGGCAGTCTCGCAAACATGCTACATGTGACCAATAACAGGATGGAATGATCAGTACACTTACATTTACAACAGACGTAACAGGATGAATGTTAGCTTTAAAATGAATTATGAAATGCACTCTTAATAACGTTACTTTAACGAAGCAATCACAGTTAGAATGTGTGGGATGAATAGTGGGAGATTAATGTTTTTCCCAAGGGACCAGGAACTTGATGAGACAATTGGTGATGGAGCCAACTGTCCGTAATTCCTGAGCATACATTCAGACAATGTGACTAAAACTAAAGTTCATATTTGGACATTTTTTTCCCCAGGTATCGAGCAGAATGTACAATTGAGGCTCCTCCAGAAAAGATCATTAATTTCCTGTTGCCATGTCCGAAAGGTCAAAGGGGTAAATGGGACAAGAGCGTCAAGGAATCGTCCATCGTAGAAAATATAAATGAGGTAAAATTAGACAAGTAACTCATATGTGTAGCAACATTTAATGATACAAAGCAGTACATTCTAATAATGGAAACAAACCACATTTTCTTTTATTTAATTATTTTCCAGAAACATTAATTTTTCAGCAACATTAGACATGTTTAGACAATATTCTACCTTTTCCAAATACTATATTATTTTTTGTTTTTGTTTTTTTTTTCGTTTTTTGTTTTTTTTTGGTGGGTGGGTGGGGTAAGTTCTGGATGTTTATTATTTTTAAACATGATAATGAAGTTTGGCCTACAAAATATATTTCTAGTTATTCGTGTTTCATTTCTTAGTCTAGTTTTGTTTTTATTGATTTATATATTTTTGTTAGACCAGAATGGAGTTTGAGGAGGCCATCAGCCAGTAGTGGCCTGACAGGCTGATGGTGAAACTATTTTTTGTTAATTTAAACAATATTTTGTGATGGTACCCTTCAAATTGAAAGTTGCAGTATTATGCTGCAACTTTCAATTTTAACAAGTTGGTGAGTATGCTGAAGTGTGCAATATATCAGTGGTCAAGTACAGGGATACACAAAGAACAGAATTTTGTTTTTTTTAAATGCTTATTTTCCACTTACTTAACTCTAAGTTATGTACAAACCAACTTCAATGTCTTAGAATTAGAGGAGTGACATCCCCTCTGGACATAGCGCTAAAAGGTGTGATTACATCTTAGAAATCGTACCTCCAATCTAAAGCTTAAAGACTAACTCGCTTGAAATAGAACTCTAAAATGGTTTAAAGTGGCAGTCCAATGTTTGCACATAACAATATTTTGTGAGCCCACATTAATGCTTCAACGGCTATGGACAACATAAAAGTAAACATCCTGATAGTAAGCACTCTATAATTGGACATGAAAAACATCGGTGTTATTAAAAATAATACTGTATTATGTAATACATTATATTTTTGCAAAATTATGACATAGATATGTTGGACTTCCCCTTTGATTTATTCTTATTCCTTGAGTCCATTTAAAGTGTACAGACACTCCTGACCTAGGTTGGTCAAAAAATATCGCTTTTGGTGGTGTTTGTAGTTAAAAGGTGGGATTACACTTATTCAGGTTAAATCTACTTATTAAATTATAATTAGAATTTTAATCCAAAAAACCTTTCTGAGCAATATAAATAGCGTATTGTATCATTGGTACATAATTTATACTTTCCTAATTTCACACAGTTTGGATTTTCTTTTTTGCTCTTTCAACCTGTCATTCATAATTATATTTTTTGCTTCAATTATAATTGCTTTATCTTGAAGGCTGTATTCATTAAAAGGCTTCATTGAAATAGGTGTAGCTATATTTATACTGTAACTTTATACATTATAGTTAAATAAATACAGTTGGACACTTCCTAAAACATTTGACTGTAGGAGGTCAAAACATTCATTCTGTGGTTTATTTACCTGTTAAACCAATTAATTTCATTTTATTAATTATTCTAACCGAGTTGAAAAATAATAAAAATTTTTTGTAGTATTTATGTCTTTCTGTATGTAACATGGAATATTACAATTAAAAAAATCTGAAGCAGCCACAAAAGGCACTTAAAGTAACATTAATTTGAAGTATGATATTAGCAAGCTCTTTATATTGGCCATTTGGTTTTACTTTTTACCTGCAATCAGGATTACCTGCTGTTGTTGTCTGTGATTTTTTTTTTCTGCCCTTATGGAGTTTGCCAGGAAGTTTGTGGGCATGTTTTTCCGGGATCATGAGGTGTATCAACGATAGGTGAAGAGAAATAAAGCTCTTCGGAAATATCAGGGTTCAACTATTGAAATATATTATTCTTTCCTTGGAAAAAGGTTTAAGTATGGCAGGAATGTTGAAGTAAGAAACATCACACACATATTCAAACAATTAAAATAACATTTGCAAAAAACATTATTAAATCTTATACACATCTAGATGTGTATAAGAGACAGTATATAGAGTTTATTTTATGATTTATATATACTGAATGTATGCATGTTTATAATTATTCACATTGTGTTATGATGTACCATAGGGAAAAATTGATCATTTATAGATTACCAACCAAAATCATATTTTTCTCAAGTCATTGGTATGTGAACTGTATTCAGTGAAGTAAACATTTCAAACTGTGTGTGGTGGTATTTTGTATATGCTGGACTGGTATCTGCCACATGAAGCTACGCTACAGTTATCTAATCATTTAATTTTGAGGCAATCATAAACAATTATGTCATCTTCACTATGACTCTCTGGAGAGTGTTCCAGTCACTGCATGAATTTGTACACAAACTAAAGTACAGTATTGCTTACATACAAATTATCTACAAACAAGTGACTGACCAGACACAGATCCTGACCTTTCCCACCCTGTCTCTGCTTGACCCAACATGCTTTCACTCACATTCGTTTGTCCGAGGTGTCAGCTACCCTGGTAATGTTGCATCATCGTAAGAAGGGAATTTCATTACACAGCAGGGCTGGACGTCACACTTGAACTTCCAATTGAAACTCTAGTTCTATAAACCTGCACAGTTTATTCATTTAAAGTTAATTTAGGGTGTGAAGTTACTCAACCCAGCTCAATGTTTGTCTGGCACCAACACTACATGCATCCCAGCATGCATCACTCCACCTCCAGCTGGTAGTGTCAGATGCTTGTCACATCATGGTTGCCATAGTCACATTCATGCTGCTGTTTACTTTCATTTTGGCCCTTAAATATCTTGTCTTGGTAACTATTTAATTTTGAAATATTTCACTTTCTTTTTCTCCTAATATTTCATTGTAATTTCATTTGTTTTTCTTTGAGAATATCTCATCGTATGTTACCACATCCTACAATGAATCTTAACTGCTTATATGTCTACTATAAACAAAGATACTAGAAACACAAGATAGAGTTCTCCACACAAATAAAGTGTTCCACTGAAATGCATGGTTGGAATACAAACAATGGGACACCCCTTTCGACTGGATCTAAAAAAACTTCAACCAAACTTTCATTACCAAGTCGTCGCGTATTTTATTGTCAATTCTCAATTAAAAAATTGTACCTAGACAGTGACAACGGTGAATACATAATTCCTTGGCAGAGGTAGAAATCGTTGCTATTATCCAAATAAAACACATAATTAAGGCTATGGATCAGTATAGAAAACAATAATATGGCGCAAAATCGTATGGCCGGACGCACTCTAGTGATAAAGTTTTCCTCCATTAGTGGAAAAAGAAGGGCGCTGTGTGCGTCTGGATATACTTAGCAACAGAAGGGCGCCCTATACATTGGGCACGAAGTATAGAAAATTTGCATGGTTAAAAAGAATGGCGCTGCCTACGTCGGGCACGATTTCCGTCTCATTTTTACTATGCGAGTGCTCTATCTTGTGTTTCTAGTATCTTTGCTATAAAGAACAATGTGCAAAGTATGGGCCTGGCCCAGAAAGTAAACACTAGGCTGTATGTAGGCTTATTTTGGTGTCCTCACATTCATGTCTTATTTTTCTTTGTAATATGGTGACATGAGGTGATTTTTAACTATGGGCTGCAAGCTTTTCGAGGGATATGCTCATACCAGTTTTACATCCACTGAACTTTAGGCAAGACTAGGGATGGAGCATATGGCTGTGACTATAACATCAGTCATTATGAAAGCCATTTGCAGGACTCCCAGTACAGTGTTTTTGTGTGTGTAGATACACACTGGCCACTTGTTGAAAAGTGCCAAGTCAGTCAATAATGCTGTTTATTATACTCACTCAGGGATATGTTAATTATGTTGAAGGTAAAATAAAGATGTCATGATTGATTGATTCTTAATTCTTATAATTTTTATTTTCATTATTGTTAATATTGCTCCTTCTAGTATATAGCTTATGGGCTTTGTTTTTTTAGAAAGCCTATGAGCTGAAGCCTAATATAGTGTCTCTATAGTTTCCAACCCAGGCATCAGTAAGCCTACGCCTAAGTTACCCCAATTTTTTTTTATTGGCCATACGTTAGAAGGTTCACATTCCGGCAAATTACCTTCAACATCACTGGATAAGATCAGTCACCTTAAAGTCAAGTGGAGCAATAGACTCACTTAAACCAGGTGGACTGAAGCCAAGCTTTCAAATACACTTTTTTTTTTTTTTTTTTTTTTGCCCAGGCTCAGTGTTCCTATTTTTTGGCCGATTTCAGGCTCAAAATGTTCTTAATTTGTTCTTATTTTACACACTATTATACCTTGTCATGTGCTTTACATGCACAACCCATCTATTCAATGACATACCATCTTACCAGGTGTCCATTTATACTCCTAGGTGGGGAGAGCCCAAGAACACAAGCAATGCGACAGGCGTCGGTCTCAAACTCTCGATCTCGCAATTGGAAGTCCAACACTGAACAAGCTGCACTGCATGCTCTTACGATTACTGTATATGCCTGTGGGACTATTTAAACCGAGTAGTGCATAATGACTGCTCCCAAATTATTTAAATGCTGAAGTCTATGCACTTATGTTGGCCTGGTCATCGGATACAGAATCAATCAAGTGATGTGCAACCTCTTTCATTCCCTGAGGACTATCCCTACACACATGCATGTTAATTCAGCAAAAACCAATTTCATTAAAAAACTTTCACATCCTAATATTTTGATCTTCATGTCATCAATCCTTGTCTTGTACGCTTTTGTTATGGCCACATTAGTCATGCTAATTATAGAAAAATGTAAACAACCTTCCATGTCGGCTGATAGTAAAATATATAGTAACCACATTTAGAGACTTATCCACTGACCATTACCCTAGTCTTACAAATATTTTATGACTTTATCTTAATAGTGTAACAAGTTTATATGACATGTAAAAATAATAGAAGACAATAATTAAAGTAATGTGTTGAAAATAATGATATATGTGAGATATAAATTTGTAGTCTACTGTATTTTGTTGTAGCAGTTATATATAACTCTGGGATGAAAAATAGCCTAAATAATGCAATCTATGTTTTGATCTTTATTTATGACGCATCAATTATCCTACACATAACTATGTACATTATTTAATAGGGATTGTATGGAACGTGATTATAGGTATAAACAGGCTTTTAAAGGTAGTTGCCTGGAGGGGGTACAACTACCTTTTTAAGTTGTCAAATTCTAGCCAAGTTACTTGGCCTGACACAGGTGACAGCTAGAAGCGTTGTCACAATACCAAATAGCAAACGGTAAATGAATTACAGTACATTGAGAAGTTAATGTATTTATATCCTTGTAGCAATATCATCACTGAATAATTGCTAAAAAAATATTCAAAGATGAGTTCAGATGAGGTTAATGCCAACAAAAGTACTTTTTATAGCATTGTTTATATTTAGATTTCCTATTCTATTGAAATTAAATTGATGACAAGTTAACTTAAGTATATGTTTATATAGTTTTATATGTATCCTAATTATTGCATTAATACCTTAACCATTACATAAATATCATAGTAATGTGAAATATTTATATTATATAATATAGGCTTATATATACATTTTATATACATTTATTTTGTCAAATATTATAAAGGTAAATGATAAAGTCAAAGGTACATTACTCATTATTGTTCTTTGATCATCATTATATTTGTATATTTGACTGTATATTTATGATAATTTTATAACATTTATTAAAACATTTCATCTGTATACAACACTTCACTATAATGCATTGTTATATATGCATTGTTATATTTATATTATATTTATAAGGAAAGAAATTTATATTAAAATAATCTGAAGTTTTATTCCAATTTTCCAAAGGATCTTCTTGTGTCACGGACTGCCACACACAGTGCTGCCATGGGCCTTATTTCCTCCAGAGAATTCTGTGACTTGATCTTGATTAAGAAGTATGCTGGTGGTATTCTCAGTACCAACTCCAAGAGTATATCCCACAGTGACTGTCCCCCAAGAGACGGGTGCGTCAGGGGGTTTAACCACCCTGGTGGAACATTCTGCATCCCACAGAGGTGAGTCCTTTTAAATTTAAAGCTCCACTGGTGTTGATTAAAGATATATATTAAATATTCCAGATGGGGACATACGTTTTTCTCAAATATTAAATATTTTTAATCAACACCAGTGGAGAGTTGTCTCTCTATACCTAGTTACTTTCATGTGATTTAACTATTATTCATTGTGTAAAACACAATACCTCAAGAAAAACGTGTCCTAATGGGAATACAACTTGGCTTCATAGCTCAGTTGGTATATTCAAACAATAATCGAAAAGTCTTGGGTTCGAATCCCGATGGGGAATTAACGTTTTTCTCAAATATTTATTATAAAACTTACTAAAGACATCTGCTAATTTATTAGGAAAATATTACTCCTAAAACTCCAAATATTGAATTTTATGTTTTATGTATATTAGCTCAACACTGGCAGTATCTTTTTATAATTGCTAATTATGTAATATACATGTATAGTATACACTCCCTGGTAGAAAATTTAGTCATATGCATTATCTGTTGCTGATGTACAGTACTAATATTAATTGATTTTAATTTTTTTCCAGACAAAGTGGCTAGGCCTAGGTCATCGTAATTATTTAATGCAGCTTCGATACTACTAAATTACTTATCTTTTATTGAGTTATTTGAAAGGGATGTTGTTAGTCCTCAAGTTTCTAACATAAACCTATAGGCAAGACATAAATACAAATCTTCCTCGCCATCAGGGTTGCTACCCACTTATGTAGGGTAATTACCCAGCCTAGAGGAGGTAAAGGGAGCTGCAGTGAGGCCATCCCATTAAGCAGCAGGCGATAGCATCAGGATTCCAGGCCTAACTTAATAAACGGGCTGACAATTTGAAAACATACTTGGAAGCATCATCTGTGGTAGTCCTACAGAGCCTGTGCCCGAATGCGACACCCGCGTCTGATAAGCTAATTGAAGGCACGCAGGTGGGCTTGTTCTACCACTGGGCCTGACCCCATTCAAGGTGACCCCTGCCAGATAACACACCTGTTTGCCGACTGACTAGATAGAAGAACGGTGGAGCAATCGGTTAATAAAGAACCATTCAGACAAAACCAGGGCTTCCAATTTTTTTGGGAGATTCAATTTACTGTGAGATTCTTTTTTCTGCAAGATTATTTTACTTCTTTCTGCTTCTGTTGGTTTTTTTTTTTTTTTCTTTGACGGTCCACAGTTATGTTAATACAGGGATGGTCTATCATAGCAGTTACATTTACTGAATTAATCATCACCAAAAATTGTATTGTTGCATTCCTATGCATGCACACTATAATGTATAACATGCTCCGACAAGGCTCTAGGCTTTCAAGTTCAAGTTGCAAAATTATTGGTTTAATTACAAACTGTTTAAATTGATGTCCTTAGGCTAGACATACATTTATCTACTTTTTGACTGCCTTCACTCAAGAGTAAAAAATATTCCCTCAGAGAATACAAATACTGGAATGTATGAAAGATCGTAATGCTTATCTAAATCTATTATTTGTCTTCATTTTACAGTATTATTATCATATTTAAAATGTTGTTTATTATCTAAAAACAACAAAATTCAACATATTGTAGGCCTAATCCTACCGTCCATTTAAACGCAATCACGATCGCATCGTGACTTCACTACTGGCAACAAAGAGTATATAACATCTTTGCTAACAAATACACTGCACTGTACATGTGTGGAAAATCTCTGATAGCTCATTCTGGTCATGCACATGGACATGCATGGGCAGTTTTGAAGCAGCCTGTGATGATACGATCATAGCTTTTACGAAAGTGATATTTCCCATGCCAAAGATAACGATAAAATGAACGCTGAAAACAAAATTTCTTATGTAAAACATATGTATTATACTACACAATTAAATTAATACAAGTACGACCATTCTTCCACCAGCAATATATTGATTTAATAGAGAATTTAACAAAATCACAATCTGTAGATAACGAGGTAAGGTCGGGCGTTCGGAAAAGTCATAGTTTATACTAGGCCTAGGTAGTAAAAATTGCCGAGGCTGCCAACCTCGGAGAATTTAAGGTCAGCCAATTTTTGCCGATCTAATTTTTTCCAAATTTTATGGGCTGTATATACAGTATATAACAACACATTATACCATAAACATATAGCATGATACCTTTTTCACATATGCAGCACATTTATTTCTTCAGGCACTTGCAATACTTTATTCCATGTGTTAAAAATAATTCACATTTATGTATCAGGCACTTGCAATATCTTATTAAGCATGTGTTAAAAGTAATTCCTGCCAGTTGAAAGGAAAGAGAGCCATGATTGGTACTCAAAAACAGACCTATTTAAACAAAATTAAGATGAAACAATCTGCCATCACATGTGAAAATGGCCATGTATGGGGGAAACATGTGAAAATGTTGTTTTCACACGCAATTCTGTAAAAATATATGACAGTGTCAATCAAGCAGAGGTTTCGCAGCGTTAATCCTTGTTGACACATTCTGTCGGAAGTCCAAGCTAGCGCTGTGTAATGTGACATATCTTTGGCATGTCTATCTTTGTCCTTATTCTATTAATTACATCTTGAGTGTGATTATTAGCAACTGAGCACGTACCCCTTTGACAGCTATGTGTTTTTGGATGATGTCATAGATTTCTAGTGGTTTTTAATTGTGATGCATTAGTTTCAAGAAGCATTTGAGTTAAGCACATTTAGTAATACATTTTTGTTCTTCCTTCCGGAACAAAAAAAAATGTAATCTGGTGTTATTTTAAGATTCCAAGTGTATTGATGCTATATATTGTAAAATTTTTGTTTGAATTGAAACCATATTTTTAAAATACAAGTGTCGATAACTACTCTATAGCTACTTTACTGTTTATAGTTGTTTATATACTTATATTTCAATATAAAGTAGATTTTTCATTTCTTCATTTTAATTTATCCTAAATTTTTTTATATATTTATTCCATTTATCTTTTTCTGCTTTTACCCATTCGTCATTGTCTTCTTTTTTTTAAATAAATATATATGTTCTGTCTTTCTCATTTTTTTTTCTTTCTGTCATCTCATCTGTTCTCTTTCATTCCTCCTTCATTCCACCCACTTTTTGCTTTGTTAGGAAAAAAGGAGTAAAGTAGCGGGCCTAACGATAATCACTTTGACGTTCTTTAATACTTTATCGCTTTAAAATTAATATTTAACTATTATCAAGGCTTTCACATTATCTGCTGTAGACAAATTGATAATACTGTATTATTATTATTATTGTTACCATATTGTATTCTTACTGTAATTATTATTATCATTATAATTGTTTTAATAAAAGTTTAAACTTTTGATCGCAACACAAACAAATTTCCTTACTGTGAAATTTTCACCATATACCACGGTCTTCCTCAGCACAATGACTGGAATGTGACTTGAAGGCTACACCGATTTAGGGGACGTGATCTTACGAACATGTGACTCTAAAATCGAATCGTAGATCTTTGGTAGCTTGTGTCGGCCCCCGTCTCGGTTCAGCGTTGGTTTGTTCACCCAGATATAAATTGCCTCTTTTACACCTCTCTCAAAGTGTCTTGCTTCCCTGTCAATGAATGTTAACCTGTACCAGGTCCACATGATGTCCAGGTGATTCAATGTGGATATGTTGAGAGATTTCCAATGAAGTTGAACTAGGTCTACGATGCTCCAATAAACGTGTCTTCAGAGTTCTTTCTGATTCCCCAATGTAAGAATCCTTAGATTTGCCGGTAGTAGTTTTGCCTTGGCAAGGGATGTGGTAGATGGCGCCTGTGATGTCTTTCTTTTGACTCTTGTTCTTTGGTGATACTAACAACTGTCTTAGGGTACATGTTGGTTTAAAGCACTTTGTGATGCCAAATGTTTTGAAGGTTAGCTTGAGGGTTTCAGAGACCCCCTTTATATATGTGGCAAAGACAAGCCAAACCAGTCACTCGTCGTAAATCCTGTTTTGGAGATAATGGCCAAAACATGCTGGAATGTCAAAATTTTCGAAATCTATTTTATTGCACAAAACTAACCTTTATATATCTTTACATCATGCTATGCTGTTATTTTCCTCATTTTCAATGTTAAACAACAATTTTTTACGATTTGGTGATGGTTTCTGCTTAAGAAATGCCTGAAATTGTAAACTTTAAAGGCTGATTTCTCAAATATTGTTCTTTAAACAGCTGTATGTTTAAACTTGTGTAACTTCATAACGAAGTGTCGGATTGAAATGATTCTTTTACCATTTTATAGCTCTCATTTTACTGTTAAACCCTGTATTAATAACTAAAAATTGATTTTTCCGACGAGTGACATACCACCATTTTTAATTACTGATATATTATTTACTAGTGAATGATTGGCTGGCTCTGAAATGAAATTTAAAAGCTTTTATACACATAACAGTAACCAAATTGGTTATTTAGACAAAGTTTTTTTTTCTGTATTTTTAAACTAGCTGCATGATATATTTTGTGTAAATCCTCATACTGTATATAATTTCCACCATTTAAATATATAAATATTCAAAAACATGTATGAATATTCAACAACATATATATGAATATTTAAACTTTCTAACAAATTGCTGTCTCTTATACACATCTTAACTTCATAACGAAGTGTCGGATTGAAATGATTCTTTTACCATTTTATAGCTCTCATTTTACTGTTAAACCCTGTATTAATAACTAAAAATTGATTTTTCCGACGAAAGACTGGTTTGGCTTGTCTTTGCCACATATGGGATAACGGCCAACCCTTTATTTGTTGTCTTCTGCCTTTGGATGTCTTCTTACTCTTATGTCTCCTAGTTGCTTGATTGATAGCCCAGTTTGGATAACCACATGTGTTCAAAGCTTGATTGAAGTGTGCATTCATGAATTTTGTCTTCCTCCTTTGTGACGAGCGAGTTGGCTCTGTGATAAAGTATTTGTACTGGTACGGGCATTTATAATGCGCCTCTTCCTTGCGGTTATAAAGGGCAGTTCCTTTCCCTGATCAGTGTATTAATGACCCCTAATTTATGTTGAAGAGGGTGGTTACAGTTAAAGTTAAGGTATTGATCAGTGTGTATCAGTTTCCTGTAGATTTTAATGTTAATGCTACCATCATTCTGTATTACTGTAAGTGTGTCAAGAAAAGCCAGCCATTGTGCTGAGGAAGACCATGGTATACGGTTGAAAATTTCACGGTAAGGAAATTTGTTTGTGCACCAACACAGATGAGCTATTTTTCGAGTATTATAATTATTGTTAATATTCTTCTTATATAGTAAATTGATGAACTAAAAATGCAGTTTATCTTTTATTTCCCCCAGTGATGGAAGTACGAAAGTCGTTAACATAGTTCAAACTGAGCTTGGTGGTATGTTGCCGACATCCCTGGTGGAATCAGCCGTGCCAAGCAGTCTAATCAACTTCTTCGTAGATTTAGAACAAGCGGTAAAAGCGAGTAGTTCATAACATGAGACGGTGAAAACAAATGGCTAATAACATAAGGCAGTGTAAACAAGTGGCTCATAACATAACAGATGGTGAAAACAAGCGGCTTCTAACATAACAAAAGGTGAAAACAAGCAGCTTATAGAGAAGAAATCAACAGTCTTACGGTGCTCTAATATTTTCCAGTTCCTGCACAGATATAGATCTTAAGTTTCTTTAATTCTCATGTTTTCATAATTTAAACAAAAGCTATTGGACAATTAATAATATCCTATGGAGATTATATATTGATAGATGTAGAATTATAATAGCTTGACATTTATCAAAAAGAAAGTTCAGTCCAAGTGGAAATGTCAGACCACAATATTTATATACTATAATGTCAAATATCAAAAGGAAAGGATGATGAACGTTTTTTTTATGTGATGTGTAGATGGATGGATTTTCTTATCAAGTAAACATGTTTTGTTTCATTTGTAATGTTAAGTTGATATGTATGTTTCCTGAGTTTGAGGTTATCAAAATTAATGATCACTAGTTTCTGGATGTCTCACCCTACAGTAATTGAATATGGTTTTATCAAATAAATGAATAATAGTAATAATTAACTACTTTATTAAGTACCCATGCATCCGTTGGGACCTCCTTTGAATTTTTGTACTGGTTTCCTTGATAAGAAAATCCATTCTAACAATTGCCCCAGGATATGCTCATTTTGCTTTTATTTTCCCCCAATTTTTGCTCTACTAAATCTTACAAAGACTCTATCGTCCTTGATAAACCTGAAACTTTCTTTACTAATTTGGTGACCATCTAAATTTCTAATTGCTTTTATATAATAATAACTGTTATATAGCTTTTTGAAAACAGTGATGATATCTTTTGGTTTCCTATGTAATAGTACAAAGCCACTTGTCCGTCCTTGTTCCCTTGCCCAGTTCCGCACCCCATTTACCCCACATTAGCTCAGCTATACTGGTTCTTCATCTCCAGTTCCCCTGCCGTAGTACCCCATCCAAGTTTCCTGCCGCTGTACACATTCGCAGAATGTCTGTGTGTTACTACGATCCTTATGTGCTTTATAGACATGCTTTAGTGTTGTAAGCCTATGGTTGGCTGGTGCTTATAATGGTAAGATGTCATTGGTGTGCTTAAGCCTTATTGTATCCTGTGGTATCTTAAAGTTAATCATGCTTACATTGACTTAACATATTGGAAATAATGTACACACAAAGCCCAGAGTCCAAACTATCAAATATTATTTTAAAAAGAAAAAATGTGACATGCCTAAATATGGTCATAATGATATCACATGACCATATACAGGCTTCATTTTGTTTCGTTTTATTTGGCATTACATTAAAATATAAAGTACAAAAAATATCAAAATAGGAAGATACAATAGCAAAAAAGTCAAAAGTTGCAATAAAATACTTCATCAAAAATATATTTGAGTTACCTCGAACATCATATACCACGTAAAAAATTGATGTTAACAAACAGATATTAATCCAGGATAACCCGTGAAAGTTCTGAAGAACTTGTTTCCAACGGGGTCCAAAAATATCACATGAAAACAAAAACGGAGACAGACAAAAGAAGTGGTATATGATGTACAAGATAAAACTTTTTTTTTTATTGGCATATAATGACTATATATAACCACCATATAAGTATACCACCATTTTTAATTACTGATATATTATTTACTAGTGAATGATTGGCTGGCTCTGAAATGAAATTTAAAAGCTTTTATACACATAACAGTAACCAAATTGGTTATTTAGACAAAGTTTTTTTTTCTGTATTTTTAAACTAGCTGCATGATATATTTTGTGTAAATCCTCATACTGTATATAATTTCCACCATTTAAATATATAAATATTCAAAAACATGTATGAATATTCAACAACATATATATGAATATTTAAACTTTCTAACAAATTGTAGGCCATATTATAAAGGCAGATATTGTAAATATAATTAAAAGATGCGCTAGCTATTGAATAAGAAAAAGCTAAATGTATATGTTAAAAGACTAATGTGCATTCCCTCCTTGGTAACGCCAGTGCCGATTGTACAAAGAAAATTTGTTCAGCTGTGCTTGCTAATAAATTAAAAAGTGCTAAAATTGTCTTTTGATTCTTTAAATGCCTCTGTTTTTTTCAAAGTGACTAATCACAACATGGCCTGGAACATGCATTTGTACTGCAGATGCAGTTGCACCACAATTGACATATTTTGTGGTACCTTACCAACAATATTTATTTATTTATTATTAAGGGGGGGGGGGGGGGAGAGAGAGAGAATAAAAGAGAAATACTATAGTAATTGTATTAAATAATTTTGACTCCGAAAATGCTATCATTATTCTCTGCACGTTAAGAAAATATCAATGGGAAAGTGCTAACACATTTACTTATAAACACACTCAATATATCCATTTCTGACGATGACCAAAGAGCATAATTCAATCAAGTTGAATGCACAAGCGCGTAAATGCCAGCTCTCGATGGAGACAATGTTTACTACTACTATTTGTCTGAGACCAGGTCATGGGCGATATATCTATAATTAATAGTTGGATTCAATTAATGCAACAAGCAAGTCAATTCAATTCTATTTTTCGCCTCAATGCCCACATGATCGCAAGTGCTATGTATAAACATAATTTGTTCATTATCTTTGTTATTCTTTTATCACATTTTGTTCAATTGACATATCGCGCAATGTAGACTAATCCTCTATCTTAATTCTGATTTTGACTGTCCTGTTGTGCATTATATTGATACAATCTAGTGATGGCTATTTTTAGCTTCTTCTCGGGCGAAATTTCTTTCTCCATCGACATACTTGCCAAAAACAAATACCCTGGACGTGCTGATGACGTCATCAATGACGCAGTTCATAACTTCATGCAACATTGTGATGAATAATTTAACATTAGATTAGAGGATTAAAGAGGTGGCAAGCTCTGGGTGAGCTATATACTATAGAGTTGGGAGTTTTCGCAACCTTACGATAACGAATGCGAATACATCATTATCGTCATTCGTACCTAAAACATTCTTGACAATATGTTGTACGAGTTGAATATGATGCTTGACAGGGGCGGTGCTAGCGGAGGTCCAGGGGGACAAAGGACCCCTGTCGGGGACCTCTGGACCTCCCTGTCGGTGAATTTCCAGCAAGGTCGTTGGGGAAAAATGAAATGTCGACCGCCGAAAGTATACAATTTAGGTATGCTTTATACTATTAGTTGTCAAATTTTAAGGATTAAACATTGTTCAGTGCGAGCAGTGTTACCGTATGTGTTTGAGGTGTTGCATACTATCGCGATTGTATGGGTTGCGGTAGTAGCGCTCGATCTTCCCCGACACGGGGCTGGTACCTCCGACAGGTGGTTAGTACCCCTGACAAGCCTCTTAACATGGTTTTCTATCACATTATCCTGTTTAAATAAAGAATAAAATAATCAACACAGTTTTTTCCCCGACAGGATGGGGAGGGGGAGCTATGCTTCTCCGACAGGGGTGGGGGTGTGGACTCCTTGTCGGGGAGCTTGGACACCCTCGTCGAGGAATTCCTGCCGCCCCTAATGCTTGATTCATGCAAAACTCATGAATCGACTACGTTGTGACAGATACCCAACTGTAGGGGAATGGTTGTCTGAAAATGTTATGTATTCATTCTTATTTACGGAAGCCTGCGAAAACTCTTTATTAACAATCATGACAACAAGTTTGATGAGTTGTAATGATAACAAAATGATAGTATTAATAATGATAATAATGACGACGATGATGATAATATGCGGTAATAACTATAATAATTTAAAAAAAATAGAAATGATACTACTAGGCCTACTACTTAAATTTGAAGAGAAACTGCTGTTTCAAAAACGTATACTAAAAATTTCACATAATCGCATCACATATCTGAAACTGAAATCTAAGCTCTAAAGCTTACCATATCGATCGTTAAAAATAAAAAAAAGCTTTTATTGACCAACATTCCAATAAACCATTATTTACCACTGGTGTCTGAATTAGCTATATTGACGTTTCTTAGCTTTTCTTCAAAAAAAGAAAAAAGAAAAAAAAGCTATCAATGTCATTGTTTTAAGTATCCTGTAGTGACGCATGGCTGTTTTCATGTTTGACTTATCGGTTACAAATATTTTCTTCTTTTTTTTTAATATGCCCTTCTCTTTTTTCTTTACAAGTTTTAACACATGGGCCATGGATTACTAAATAGAGATATCAAATTACTGACTAATATAATGTGACAATCCCTTACATTGACGAACAAATAGGCAAACTTACACACGATGCTCTACAATCTATACATAAACGTGACGGGGGTAAGTCATTATTATTACGAATCAGGGGGGATGTGTATAAGAGACAGGTCATTATTATTACGAATCTGGGTGGGGAGAGAGGTAAGTCATTATTATTACTAATCGGGTTTTTTTTTTATTCATGGGGGAAGATGCAAGTTTTATTCATGGGGGAAGATGTAAGTTTTTATTCATGGGGAAAATGTCACTTGCATCTGGGGAGAGAGGTAAGTCATTATTATGAATCGGGGTTGTTTTTTATTCATGGGGAAGATGCAAGTTTTTATTCATGGGGAAAATGTCACTTGCATCTGGGGAGAGAGGTAAGTCATTATTATGAATCGGGGTTGTTTTTTATTCATGGAGAAGATGCAAGTTTTTATTCATGGGGAAAATGTCACTTGCATCTGCTGATACGTATTCTCTGCGTCCACGTCCTCCATATGGGATTTACTGCTGATGGAATATTGTTTTGTTATTTAGAGGCTTGTGATTATTTGCTTTTCGTTAGCCAAATATAGTAACTGTGTAGAAAGAAATAAAACTCATTTTATGCTATAAATATCACTTGGCTTGTAAAGCGATTGGATTTAATACTATTACATAAAATTAATAGCCTCTGAAACTCTGAGCATAATGCTATTCGTCGAAAAACGTTTCGTAGATTGAGTAATGGAAAGTGCTGAAGTAGGGGCATAAAAAGTCATTACTACTTACCAGGAATTTACCGATTAATACGATTCTTTATGATATGTATTTGTCGTATGGGTTCAATGAAATTGTAGGACATAATCTTCATAGCTTCCAATATGTATACAAATTCATGGGACATTTTACCTACTGTAACTTATTTGTTTCATTTATTCATTAATATTTAGTCGACTTCTAAGCCAAAGTGTTCTGTTTATTATTTTAGGTTATAGTCAATGTGAAGTATACTAAATTTCAGTTTGTTTAATGAACTCCGAAGACAATCACCTTACCTATACGTGTTTAAATGTTAGTCCTATAAATTTGTGTTTCTTATTTCGTATCCGGTAAATTACATCATGATAACAACTTTAAAGGTTATGTAAAGATCATACGTTCACGTTAGATGAAATTCAATTATTGCTTCCGTTATTATTGTACAGAGTTTCGAGTCGAAACCGTATATTACTGGACATTTTGACGTGTTTAGTATAGCAACTCAACACTTTAGTACACATTCATGCAAAAGTTTATGTGAGAAATTCAACAGTTCGATCCAATGCCCAGTTTTGTTTAATATCATTTAAATGGGTTTTTTATGCTATAAGCAAAATTAGCAATATTTTCTAGAGAAACATTTGTATATTAAAGTAAAATGTCATTGATTGTCGGGGCCTATGCATAAAAATGCGAGGACTGTACCATTTACGACGTAATGAACGCTCGCAAGTCATAAAATGCCTAATTATTATTGGGGCTTTTCATGGACCCTATCAACGGAACTTGAGAAACTACTATTTTATAATTACCGTATTTATTCATATAAACGCCCAAATTGAATAAACGCCCCCTCTAGAACCTCATTTGTAAACTGCTTTCTCGAATAAACGCCCTAAAGTTTATTTTTTCCTCGAATAGACGCCCCACCACCTCCAAATGACTGTAAAAAATATAATGGAAGCAACATCTTCTCAACACATTCTATTAATGTTCTACTCCAATAGAATTACATTTCTTCTAACCTGGTGTGGTTCAATAACTCTTTATGATCAGGCTATGGTACATTTTGACGGTAATTAAGTTGTACAGTTCTACATTTACAGTGAAATTAAAAAGGTATACGTCCATTTTGCACCAAACAATCGAATAAACGCCCCTTCAAAAACCCGTCTCAACAATAAACGCACCGGGGCGTTTATTGGAATAAATACGGTAAGACTGTTATTATTATTATTATTATTATTATTATTATTATTATTATTATTATTATTATTATTATTATTATTATTATTATTAATTATTATTATTACTATTATTATTATGTTATTATTACTAAGTTATTATTTTTGCATTATTATTACTACAGTACTATTATTTATCATCATCATCATCCTACTAAACATAAAATTATGTTTGCATACTTTTTTTCTAACGTTATTTGCTTAAACTTTGTTGTTAAAGCGTACGCTATATAATTATTTATATATCATAAAATATTATTATTATCATTTAATAAAGTTGTGGATTCGACACATTCATGCTATTCTTTTAAAAACATTTTATGCAATTATTAAAATTAATGTTATTAGCTCAGCTATATAGTTGAATAAAAGTTGTTTTTGTAATCAGTTATATGTTTATAACAACACAAACTGTTACAAACGATAGCATATGCTTTTGCGGTACTTGGTACTTGGACACTGGATAGCAGGCCATATGTCTGTCTGTCTTCCTCAATCTTTTAGCTGTGGTTAGTCCACACCAACCATTATTCAGTAATTTGGTTTCCCAATCCCGTGTATGTCTGTCATAATTTAAGGGCCTTATGAAGATCTGTTGATTGTAAAAGGCGCGCAATATTAATAATATGCTTAAAGAATTACATTACATTATAATTTTCCTTCCTTAAATCATATGTAATAATAGGCTAATAATAATGTGAAACTAATTATAATAATGATAATAGGATATGGTATTGAAATTTCGTTTAATGTAAACAAATACCTTCATAGAAATAATAATAATTTAATAGGATCAGTATTAAACCAATAATAGGCCTAATATGAAACTAATTATAATAATAGGCTAAAATAACAAATAT